AAATGAGGCTGGCTAATGCTCAACACTTTAAAAAGCTCACCCATAATGACCAACTTAAAATCAGCATCCTTTTTAATCCTTAAAGAAAATGAATAGTGTCTTTGTAGGAAATCCTGAGATTCTAGTTCAAGCAAACTCTCATTCACCTAAGTAACAGCTGAGAAGGAGCTTAACATTTGGCTCTATAGTGCATGTCAAATCCCCTCCTCATGTAAATCTACAGGACTCCATTGGTTTTAATGGCATAGACTGAACTGGGACGTACTTTTCTATATCATATTTATTCAGTATCAGAATTGGCCCACAGCTGAAAACCACCTAAAATTTATATATTTTAAACTACCTATTCCATATTTCAGTAACAGTACTTGATATACAAAAGCAATATTTTTATAATCAATTACCAGCTATATATAACTAATAGCTATCTAAATAGGTGAGTTTCAGTAAAGACTGATTCTCTTTCTGTTTTTCTTCCTTCTCTAGTTCTGTCTTTTTGTTATACTGTTTCAGTATCTTCATTCATTCTCTCATAGTATTTCTTATAATGTAAGAAATAAAAAAACCCCAAAACAATCTTTTTGGCCCCTAAGCCTCATTAGCATTAATTTGAATGAATTCTGTCAATTTAGAGAGTAGCTCTTTGATCCAATATTTTGATTAAACTATATGTTTGTTAAACAGAATATTCAAGATGGCCTTGTGACCCACCACTATTTTTATATCAATACATTCCTATTAGGAATGAATTAAATATTGCAAATGTTGCAAAACTACTTTCAGAATACTAATATGAGACTTAATTTTTATCTCTCCAGGTCCTAAAGGGGTTTCCAGAATGCTTACAGGCTGACATTTGCCTACACCTCAACCAAAATTTGCTTCAGAACTGCAAAGCTTTCCAGGGGGCCAGTAAAGGTTGTCTCCGAGCTTTGGCTATGAAGTTTAAGACAACACATGCTCCTCCTGGAGACACTTTAGTCCACGGTGGTGATGTTCTCACTGCTCTTTACTTTATCTCAAGAGGATCCATTGAAATCCTCAAGAGTGACATTGTTGTAGCCATTCTTGGTAAGTAGTTTAGAAATGAGAACAAAATTATGTTACTTTTTTTTGCTAGGATACATTACAATACAAGTTAAAGTTAACAGCAGGCTGACAAGAAATAGCTGTTGCTGTACTTTGTTCAGAAGACCTGTGAAAGATTCAGTCACTTTGAAGTCCTGCTGCTGCTGAATAATTTAAGAGGAACATTTACTTAATGTCCCACCCAATAACCCTGTCTGCGCTATAAGGAATGTGACTGTGTAGTTAAAAGGGACAGGCTCTGGGGAGCCTATTCAGGGAACAGAGACTCCCTGTGCACCACAGAGCCAGAGAGAGGGTAGAGATGGGTGAGTCCACCACCATTGTTTCCACCTATGGAAGAGTTGCAGAGTGAGATGAATATGAGGCAGAAACTGCTTCATTCTTGGTACATCAGTCTTACACTAGCTAGTGAACAAAACTTCCTTTCCTTTAATCTTTGATGTATAACCCAGCTGCTTGTGTTGGCCTCTGGAAACAGGAATTGAGGTTCAGAATTTGTGTTCTTAATATCCAGAAAAACTTGTCCCTTCCTCTCACTGGCACAAATACTGCTGCTGTTTTTCCAATGAATACATTTCTTTCTACATAACTTAGCCAACCAGTAGTAAAAAACTATGCAACACCCAAGCTGGAGCTCTCATCCAACCTAATAATGAATTCTAAACTAGTACTAGGAAGGTGCTGTTAGCTATAAGTTGTTTCATATTATTCAGAGCAAAATTATTTGCAATAGAAAAATTACTAATTGTTTCTTAAACTGAGTGCATCTTAAATTGAGTATAATGTGATAAAAGTGTAAAACATGATTTTGAATATTACAAAGGTAGGCTTCTGCACTCTTAGAATATGGAGTGGCTGTAGAATGATTCAGAGGAACACATTTCTGTTTACCTTGCACTTTAGAGACTTGCATCCAGGAAGGAATTGAAACAAAATATGGATAACTAGTTACTATTTATGTCATTGGTTTAAAACTATCAAATAGTAGCATGTGGCTGCCTATCCACTTTTATTGTTCTTCAGCATGGGTTTGTTAGAATGCAAAAAAGTTTCGGCAGCATTGCCACCTTTGGTTCAGATCTTGCCCAAGTAGTACTGTGTCTGGTCAGCATTTATATAGGAGCCTTGCAAAGATCATCCCAGTGACTCCATTAGTAGCACTGCTTTCATAAGGGTTACCCCTACCCTTTCATAAGGGCTATTACCAAATCAATCCCATAACAGAGAGATGGGATTTCTCTTGGAAGAAACATCTAATATTCTGGTATTTGGACTCATCAAATGTACCACACTGTGATTTCAGGACTAGAAGTTTGTCTCAGTGTCTGATCCAAGTTTCATTTTTTGGAATTTCTGTTTTCTTAATTAGAATCCCCTCTATAATTTCAGTTGGACTAGATATTTGTCCTATTTCTTGTCACTATGTGCTGCTAGAGATTTACCCTGGCCCCACTCAGAGGTGATTCTTACAAATGTAATGTCACTGTTTCCTGAAAGAAAAGTTCCATATAAATCCAAGCTGTTATCATTGGTTTGAGCTGAAATACCCTTCTATATTCAATCAGCTTTACATGAACACATATCAAAAAATAATTGTCATTACAATGTCTCAAAGGAAATATGGTTACACAGGTGGGGAGAAGTCAGGCCAAAGCCAAACTGGATAAATGGGTATTCCTCCTTTTTTTGCACCAACTTCAACATAAATTCCTACTGCAGGTAACTGAGTACCGTAGGCATTTTCCTTTTACACCTGGCAGTGAATCCCAAGACATTAGCTGATCAAAGGATCCCTAGAATCAAAGTTATAGTGGAACCATTCCACCATTACATGGGAAAGTTTCATCCTATACCACTATAGTCATAAGACTTTCATTATTTGCTATAGCAGAGTGGATCCTAAAAGAGGATGAAAATACACCCTGCTACTGCAGAGACATGAGTATTCCCATAGGTCCATAGCACTTTTGTGTAGAGAACAAAACCCTACTTTTATTTAAAACTCCATCCATTTAGAAGAATGGATGATTGGTAAAATGCAAGGTTTACATTGTGGTATTTCCAGTCAGCTGCAAACATTGCCTTCAGGCATAATGTCTGCTTCTAGGAGCTAGTGATAAAAAGAAAAAAAACTGAATAAGATTTATTTCACCTATAATAAAACACTATTAAATAACAAAGATAAGATTTGCCAAAAACCAGAACAAGTTCTATGTACAGTTAGAAGTCCTCATAAGAGACTTCTTATTTCTGATTCTGCTCATCTTGGGACTGTAAAGACTGAGCCAGAGAGAGAGTTCAGGCTGTGCAGTCCAGGGAAAAGTAACTTTCCAGTGTGTGTGGATTCTGTCTGGACAACTCACGGTGAAGGAATTGTCTGGGAGAAGGTGCTGTTGAAGCCTGGAAATAACAGAGGTGAATGCTACAGAGAGAAAGGACCCTGTAATTGGCATTAGACAAAGATCTTTATGGTTAGAGACAGAGAGTGGCCACAATGAAAACTTTACTGAAGGTTACTGTATTTTCTCATATGCATATATCCGCAAATATAATACACACCTTGTTTTTGAAAGGCAGAATGAAAAAAAAGATAATTTTCCCAGAATGATGAGCAGGGATCCTAGTTTTCCCTAATAAAAAAATCACAAATTCTCCAATAAAAAATTACGACTTCTCTGATAAACCCCCCCAAATCCATGATTAAAATGAAAGGTTCCCCCCGCTCCCCTCCCCAGCCGCTGGCCCTGCTGGTGCCCCA